ACCAAATTCCACGACCAGAAGGAAGGATTCTTGACCAATGCAACGACTTGCTTCCAATCCCAAGTTTTTGCCTCTTTGGAAGGAGAATGCTCAGTAAGCAGACCAAGAATTGCCGATTTCTCATCGTCGTTGAGGAATTTCGCGGTTTGCGGGTAGTCTGGGAGGAAAAAGAACGTCACGATACCCATCAAAACTGCAGGGATTCCATCTGCGACATTTAAATCAGCCAGTGTTTGGGAGTTTGTGCCATTGGCTTGAATCTTACCCATGATGAACAACCAGCGCCAGCCTGCCAGGCGGCCGTCGGCGTGTGAAATTGCGAACGCTAGGAATCCACCAAGGAAGCCACTCAACTGACCAAAGGAATAGAACACGGCGACGCGTCGTGCCATTTGGTCTGGGCGGAACCAGAATGCGAGATAATAAATGATACAAGGATAGTATCCTGCTTCTGCGGCTCCCTGCACTGAAAAACGATCGTCAGTATGACTAACTATTAAACTTGAAGGGTGAGCTGCAAGCTCACAAACTCGAACTGCAATGAGGTCACCGTACTTCTGCACTGCACCTACGCAGCCACAGATGATGCCCCATGTTACCATCAGGCGACCGAGCCAGAAACTCGGGCTGCGAGGTTTCGCTCAGGAATTTAAGCTTGAAAGAGGAAAGAGCGTACGTTGTCTTTTTCATCATCAATGTTGATGCAGGTTCGAGGAATGCGTAGGGGTAAAAGAAGCAAGCAATAACCCAATTCCATTGGTTTGGACTCAAGTTAAGCTCGGACTTGATGTCATGCTTCTTCTCGGCATTCATGATCGCAGAGTTCGTGATGTTATTGGCGTCGGTCTTCATTACAAGGTAAGTGAAGCAAAGCCAAGGAATAATCCTGACATCTATAAGAAGTCAACGTCGGCTCAGCGACATCGATGATTGCAAGAGCCTGGTGGAACTAACCAAATTTGCGTTGAATTCGACGTATCTCCGACGGAGATGAAAAAGAGATGTGGCGCTCCTTTTCTAGTCCATCTTTGCGAACGGTCGAGGACGAGGACGAGGACGAGGACGATGTGCTGAAGGACGTAGAGGCCATAGTGAGGGTTTAACTTAAAGATAGAGACCTCAGGCACCTGACAAGACGAAATCTCAAGCATTGGCTTATTATGGGCCGTCCGAAGCTGCCATACAAGCTAACCTATTGCAGTGGCACGTTGTGATGACGAATCTAATTTTACGCAATTCTTCAGTAGAAAACTGTCCTCCGGCCTAGGGGCCGCATGCAAATACTGCTCGACAGCATTTCAAATGATAATGGAATAGGAATTATCTGACGAGATGCCGGAAAGTTCTCTTTCCACTGGTAGAGCAGAGTCCAGAGATCCTCAAATTCAGACACAGACGAAGCAATTGAAGTCCGAAGAGTGCTGGATGACGTTAGATGAGCAACACATGTCGAATAAGTAACAATGCGAACCTGCCATTCTCACGACCGCTGCGAAGGAGATAATTGTTCGGATCGGGAAAGTGTCTCATAATTGTTCGGATCGGGAAAGTGTCTCTGGACCGGCTGACCACCTTCCAAATGATGCTGTTCTTATTCTATCGAATGAACGTTCACCGTGACCAACCAACGATAGTCTATTCAGTAAACCTTGAGCTTGAATTTCTATCTTCGCGCAAAATATCCAATATCATTATAGAGCAACATTATTCCGCCGCTCCAGTATGGGTTCGCCACTCCCATCACTAGACTGGATCCAACTATAGAACGACATCGTTGGATTCTTTATGATCTACGCCAGGCCCATTTCATAATTCCGCAGGACTATTCTAGTTGAAATCATCGGTCCGGTGCCTAGAGTTGCATTCTCGCGGTTACTCCGACATGGGTACATCTCTGCTTCGCGTGTCCCCAGAATCCCATTTCATCTCGAGCTTGCGTCCACCACCATGCCTGCTCTCACGAAACCCGCACTTCAATTTTTTACGCATCCTAGCGAGACGTCAGCCCCACTTGATTGGGCTCCTTTGACTATCATCGACTTGTCCAAGTTCGACACTCCCGGAGGTAAGGAACAGCTCGCGCAAGATTTGAAGGACCCTCTTACGAAGTGGGGCTTCTGGGTTGTTACTGGCTATGATCTTGGGGAGGAAGAAATAAACAGGCAGCTCGCCATCGGTAACAGTTTCTTCAAACAGTCCCTTGAGGAGAAGAGGAAAGTTGCTTGTGATTTTACTGTTGGAAGGTAAGTCATATGTGATCAGGGTCAAAATATTGGTCAAGTCCTCTTGCTGCCCAGCAACTTCGGATACCGTGAACCAACACGTTTTATTGGAAACACCGATGTGAAGGAAAACATGGAAGTGGTAGGACCCCTAAGCTATGCTAAATATGTAGATTACCTCATTATAAGTATCTTACAGCTTAATATTCCGAAATACACACGACATTACGCTTCTGTACAAAGGCATGATTTCATCAACCAATTTGAAGACGAGATCGCGCCCTTCCACCGGAAGGTGTGGACCAATGTGGTTCGCAAACTCCTCATCCTCTTCGCCATCATCCTCGAACTCCCTGAAAATTACTTTGTCGACCGACATGACTATGACTCGCCTTCACTGGATCACATCCGTTATGTGCGCACCATATCTTTCACCATATTTTCATAAATCCCTAAATCAGTGTTTTTTATAGATGATTTACCATCCGCGGTCACATGAAGAGGACGACAAGATCGGTGATCAGTGGCTTACTGGCCACACAGACTTTGGTTCCCTCACTCTCCTCTTCTCACAACGTGTCGCCGCGTACGTTTTCCAAATTCAACCTCTCCAGCCTACAAGAAGTCTCATCCAGACACACCATAGCCTCCAAGTTCGTACGCCTGACAACGAATGGAAATGGATCAAACACGTCAATGGCGGGATCATCTGTAACGCCGCCGATACCCTATCCTTCCTCACCAAGGTAGTAAAACCTTGGTCTATAATAGCACAATTATTTGATGAACATTCTCACCTAGGGCTACATCAAGAGTGCTATCCACCGCGTTGTCCGGCCACCCGCAGACCAAGCACATCTCGAACGTTTAGGTCTCTTCTACTTTGTCCGTCCAGGGGACAGCGTCCCCATGGTTCCAGCCCCAAGTCCGGTACTTATCCGTGAGGGTCTTCTGACGGAAGCGGACCTGAATCCGGAAGAGGGTCAGGTTACGGGTGCGGGTAAGTCATATACATCTACTCACTTCTCAGTTTATTCTTATGCCCAACTCTCCCGTTCTAGAATATGTGCGAGCACGTGTTAAGAACGTACATGATCGTAAGCAGACTCGAATCGCTGATAATGATGCGGAGGGAATGTTCAAGGTTAAGAACCTTGCTGTGCAAGATTATTATCTCTAAGCTATAATCGGACAATGAATTGCGAACTACCGAAAAATGTACAATCATATCTATGACATGTAGCGTTCTTTATATTATGTAGCGTAAAACATTGTCCGGCGGGATTGTGGCGCATTCAGGAGACCGAGCAAGACGGTTCTTGATAATCATCGTGTTCCTTATTGTTTTCGAATAATGATGGAGGTGACAAGACAATCATAATGGTTCAATAAACTTTACACACACATATTATTTATACACAATTTTGGACCCTATGGCACATTTACGGAGAGTTTGAAAACTATTTATCACATGAGCTTCGTCGCACCAAAGGAGAAGCGCCAAAAACCTACTATCATTTCTGGCATAATGACCAACAACATCGAGATCAAACTTCTTGCGGACGACATCATCCAAGTCGAGATCAGCAGTCAACACGCCCTCCGCATCACGCAGGGGACCTGCAAGGATCGTACCCAAGGGGCTGATTATGACGCTTCCCCCCTCTATCATTACTTTGTTAGGCTCGGGGAGGGTACCTGCGCCCATAAAGACGAAGTGCTCGTCCGGGAAATCTTTCGCCTATGATAAGGTATGTTAGACTTTGGTTGGTGGGTAGGCTCAGAGACACACCTCGGCGTATTGGCAAGCGGCGAGGACAAAGCACCCGCCCTCGAGAGCGATATGTTGCATCGTACTCTGCCATTCTGGACGAGCATCAACAGTCGGGGCGCAGTACAGCTCTGTTCCTAGACTGTAGTAATACGTTCGCACTAATATTGAGACTTGAGAAAGAGATACCACAGGAGATAAGATATGACCGTACACAGTGGCATATAATTTTCCCTACTCAGCGGTCAAAGCATTGATTGCAACGGATCAACGTTAACACTCACCAACATATCGTCGCCGACAACCTCGTACCCACTTCGCCCTCGACACCATCAAACTTTTTCTCCAACACAGGCAGAGTCGATGCATCTCCCTGACCCCACATTAATCGCTCCATCGCCGTGGGCACGAGCTTCCGATGTTTCCCCACATACCCCTTGTCCGGATCCACAAACACCACCGTACAATACAAGGTACCCAACTCCCGTTCGATGATACCCACAACTAGGAACACGCCCGTTTCTCGGCTGATCTCCTCGATGCGCGTGAGAGCCGGCGAGGGCACCTCGATCGCGCCTGCATGGTATCGTGCAAACTGGTCCCGACCGACGTCGGTGCGCGTCCCAACCGATGCTCCGAACGTGGAGAGCTTTGGGTACCCGCCGATGCTACATAGACTCAGGCTTGGTATGTGACGAAGGTTGGGGAAGAAAGGGAAAGGACGCACAATGCCTCGGGGAAGACGCAGAGCTGGGAACGATCGCGATCACGGGCTAGGCGGGTTAGTTGGTCGAGTTTGTTGAGGGTGTCGGGGATGGAGAAACGGGCGCTGCAGGTTTGTACGACGGATGCTCGGATGGTGCGTGGCATGTTTATGGAGCGCTGCAACTTGCATGCAGAATACTTGCCATGCCGGTGGGAGTTTGGAAGGAAGTCGGTCGGTCCGTCGTCCGCGGCGTGGGTTCTACGAATGCCCCTTAATCTATGACATATACATCTTTCTAACAACACTGATGGTGAAGTGGTTATCATGCTTGCCTTCCATCCCTGTGTGAAGCAAGCGGCAGGGGTTCGATTCCCCTTCAGTGTATGCACAGACGTATATTGAGTTTCTGCTTTTGCCTCCAATGTTATAGTCGCAATTCTTTTCAACATACATTCTTGCTCATCCTCGTATGATTCATTTGGAAATTCATCAACCTCATAATCTTGTCAACATTGACCCAAGCTATATCAATCTGTGAGTATCCCATAACGGTGAGTGGGCACCAATACAGTCATGACAAAGACACATTTAGGTGACCGTCTTGTACTGCCAGCATTTAAACTCTACTTACTGGCAAACTTGTTCCCTTTCGTCTTCGTCTCGGCAACAACTCGACTTTTGTGCAACTGCAACGGAAGTATCCACGCCGACACAACTCTTGGCTTCTCTCACGGTCCAGTCGAGCTTGGGTTCATCATCTTGGCTAGATGTGATCTTACCAGCTGTATTCTTCAAGGTTAGATGCTACGCTTTCCAGACTCTTCTGCAAAATTTGCTTGGCATGACGATCCCAAATCAATCAATCAATCAATCAATCCCCTATGTAGCCTATGTAGGAGACTAGCCTGGACTGGAGATCCCGATCGAGACTCGGACTCGGACTCGGTCCAACCAAGTCCTCGTCACGGTTACACTCACCAAGAAAGAAGCTTAGCTTCCGAGAACCTCTTTTTTTTGCCAAGCAACGCCTCCCCACGGCGAGAAACTCTTTCTTTGCCAAGCAATGCATCCCCACCCCACGGCTTCTACCTTCTATCTCTGTTTAGTATCTGGTATCTGGTATCTGGTATCTGACTTGAGATATCCCTCGGCCTCGTCAGTTCTCTTGGCCTCACTCAGCATTCAGTACTCAGTACTTGGCCCGAACAATCATTCTATGTACATACGTGAGAAGGCCCAAGGCTCTGCGCTCTGCGCTCAGCTTCGTCCGTTCACTTGGCGCGCCGAGTCCGTTTTGTCGTATGTGATTCAGATCTCCTCGGGCAGTCACAGTTCCAGTTCCAGTTCCAGCCACAATTCCAGTTCCAGTTCCAGTTCCAGCCACAATTCCAGTTCCAGTTCCAGTTCCAGCCACAATTCCAGTTCCAGTTCCAGTTCCAGGTCTCTTCCTCTTCCTCTTCCTCTTCCCATGATAGTATAGTATAGTATATATAACCCTCGTCGTTGAAGTACGATTATGAGCACAATCACTTAGTATTGTGAGTTTCTTGCTCACTACCGCTCCCTCCGGCCCCACGGATCTACATAGAATGATACACTACACAATCTACAGTACACACCTTCCTCGAGTCGTTATACCCAATTCCCAATTCTACTTATCCTTATCTTGGCGATCAGAGGAGGGGTGGTATATGCTAGGACTATGAATGAATTCCGAAGTTTGTACTCAATCAATTTATTTCTTGAAATGTTTTTCTTTTTTTGTTTTCGAGAATGTCGTTCATTGTAAGTTGCGTTGCGTTGGGTGTGTCTGGCAATTCGTGATTTATATGTACGTTGTACGTTGTACGCTTCATGTCAAAGTCGATTGGGACCGATGGTAAATCGGCCTCCTTCTCCGTTCTCTGTATACATCCATCAGTGCATCGTGCATCGTGCATCAGTATGGTAAGTGATCGCAACTACACAACTACATTCTTGGTCTGAAACCTCTGCGACAGAAGCGCTGAAGCAGGGGGGGACAAGAATTGGTGTGTCGTGTTTGTTTTTTCAAGTTAGATATCGTGCGGGTTAGGCTATTATTATGTATATCTATAATGATCTATTCCGCTCAATGTGATCGATTGATCTTTCTGATCTTTTCACTCCATGCGTCTTGTCGAGCATGTGGGTGCAAGGACCATTGAACATCGGATAAATCCATGTACAACTGCACATACGCTGAGCGTTGTGCTGCCTACCCCTAACTCAACACAACTCCCTCAGTCGTTGATCCTTCAGCCCGTCTCTGTCTGATCTAGCATTGTACGGGTCATCCCTCGGCCTCGTCAGTTCTCTTGGCCTCACTCAGCACTCAGTACTCAGTACTTGGCCCGAACAATCATTCTATGTACATACGTGAGAAGGCACAAGGCTCTGCGCTCAGCGCTCAGCTTCGTCCTTTCACTTGGCGCGCCGAGTCCGTTTTGTCGTATGTGATTCAGATCTCCTCGGGCAGTCACAGTTCCAGTTCCAGTTCCAGCCACAATTCCAGTTCCAGTTCCAGTTCCAGCCACAATTCCAGTTCCAGTTCCAGTTCCAGGTCTCTTCCTCTTCCTCTTCCTCTTCCCATGATAGTATAGTATAGTATATATAACCCTCGTCGTTGAAGTACGATTATGAGCACAATCACTTACTATTGTGAGTTTCTTGCTCACTACCGCTCACTCCGGCCCCACGGATCTATATGATACACTACACAATCTAGTACATACCTTCCTCGAGTCGTTATACCCGATTCTACTTATCTTTATCCTTATCTTGGCGATCGGAGGAGGAGGTGGTATATGCTAGGACTATGAATGAACTCCGAAGTTTGTACTCAATCAATGTATTTCTTGAAATGGTGTTTTTGTTCCAAGAATGTCGATCATTGTAAGTTGCGTTGCGTTGCGTTGGGTGTGTCTGGCAATTCGTGATATATATCTACGTTGTAGGCTTGCTGTCAAAGTCGATTCGGACCGATGGTAAATCATCAGTGCATCGTGCATCGTGCATCAGTATGGTAAGTGATCGCAACTACACAATTACATTCTTGGTCTGAAACCTCTGCGACAGAAGCGCTGAAGCAGGGGGGGACAAGAATTGGTGGGTCGTGTTTTTTTCAAGTAAAGTATCGTGCGGGTTAGGCTATTATTATTATGGTTTATTCCGGTCAGTGTGATCGATTGATTGATCTTTTCACTCCATGCGCATGTGGTGCAAGGATAATTGAACATCGGATGCATCATGCACAAAATACACATATGCTGACCGTCGTGGTTGCCTGCCCCTAACTCAACACCAATCCCGTCTGATCTAGCATTGTACGGGTCACAGTGCCACTGCTGTGATTACTACCTGTGGACCTGAAGCAAAGTCTACTCGACAATCTAGGTACGCATGAAGGACAGTGGACATCGACGCAGTCATGGTTTTTGATGTAACTTGATGGCACATTGCATTGTACCGCAGCTGGCTGGATCGAGGGATCAGAAGTCAGAATCAGAAATCAGAATCAGAATATATATCAATGAACGCGGTGTATGTATGAATAATCGATTCAGGGTTGTCGTTGCAGGAGGTATGTGCATTAAGCCACGAGACGCACACGCAGGCATGAGGAAGTACTTTTGATATTTGGTACGTGGTTGGTTATGTACACACGGCCACGGGTACGGGTTTTGAGAAGTTGCGATGCGCTTCGTGATTCGGTGATTTTGGGGTGTGCACAGAGATAAGGGTACGTGCTGAGGGTACGCTTTGGAACTTTTATGTGGTAATGTGGTCAGTTGGAGGACTAAAGGGCCAAAGGAAGACTTGTATTTGATACGGAAGGCTGACATGGGAGACAGGGTGGATTTGAAGCGAGGCGTGAGTTTGTTTGTCATGTCGTCGTTTGTCACGTTCTGTTGCATGTTGTGGGGACCAAACAGGTACAAAGGGCTGCAGAGGGATTTTTGCCTTTTGTGTCGGACGGATGCGCCACCTGTGCGGGATTTACGCCGGGGCCCGATTTGGGAAAAGAGGCCGGCTGGGAGCCAAGGCAGCCAAGGGCCGCGGGCCTGGAAAAGAACCAAACAGAAAACAATAGCGATATATTTTGATAGATGGCAAGTTGCCATGGCCCTGGGGTGCGAACGCAGCTGCTGGCCGCCTATGCTGGTATATAGCCAGCCCGCGGTCTCTGCCTGCTCCATGGCCTCTCTGCGCCCCATTCTCAAGCGCCCAGCCCCGTTTGGCGGCGCCCCCAGCAGCCCCCAGCTCGCCGTGCACTTCCCCCCGTCGCCCTCGCTGACCACCCACACCTTTGCCGCGTACTCTGCTGCTGCGTACGACCGCTCGCCCATCCAGGTCTCGCCCAACTCGTGTGCCCTGCCCGAACGCGGCTGCCCGGGCCGCACATACACCCTCGACGAGTCTGCTTCGCACGAGCCTGCCTCGAGACGCTACCACAGCAGCCGCGGACTCCACCCCCGCGCGCTCAAGCCCCGCCCAGAGCCCCCCATGCCCTCCCTCATACCCGATCTCTCATCCGAGTCCGACGAGTCCGACGCCTTCTCCAGTCCCTCGTGCTGCCCCGTCCTCCACCTCTACCCAGTCAGCCCCACCGCCCTCTCCTTCCTCCCCCATCCCCCCTCGCCCCCCTCGTCCCGCTCCACCTTTGACGACGACGACGACGACGAGCACCCAGTACCCAAGCCCAGACGCCGCAGAGAACGAAAGCACGATCCCTCCCGCACTCCTGACCGGATACCAGACGCCCCAGATTGCCCCATTCTCCGCACACCGACGAAAAAACGCGTCACCCGCGCCCTCCAGCTCTCGTCCTTCCCCATCGACGACGACGGCTGTCTTGGCGGTTTCTAGTCACGCGTCTTTATACCCACACATCCACAGTCTATTGACCCTCAGTTGTACAACACCACCCCCCACGTAGATTTGTTGTCTTTGTCTACTTTGATCGCCGGGTTATTTAATAATTTTTTTTTCGCTTGAGCGTCATGCGCAAGATCTTACGTACGCTCAACGAGAATCATCCGGAGCGCTGCCTTCTTATCATCATCCCGTGCATCTCAGAAGCTTAAGCTTGAGCATGACCACGCGTTCCATTCCCATAGATTGCGCGCCGCTCGGCCAGATTTACTGTAATAATACATATGGTAATTACATTCCAAGATCATCCTGCTTTGTGCTTTGCTATCGGCATACAAGCCCCTATCATGACGGCCCTCGTCTCTATCCGCGTGCTGTGCTGGGATATATTCGGAATGCTACTGTAGCACAGAGATATATATATGTGTGTATTTGGCTTTAGGACAGCCGGCGACGATGTCAGCGGAACGCGGGTGGGGCTTTTTTCGCTT